CTACACGAGGATATTGAACTAATCAGCCTTTTAAGCTTTAAAGTCTTCACAGAAAATAAAAAAGAAGATACGAACAGGGTAAACACAGTGCAAAATACCAGTAATGATGGTAGTGGAAGAAACCTTGACTTAGAAGTTAGAACTAGTTACATACCATTTCTTTCACGTCAAATTGGAATATATGCTTCATTGGATCTGGTACCCGATCATTGTGGGATGCATTGGCAAAGGCAGAGAAATCATGCTTCCCAACAAAATATTTTGCAGCTTCTCTCATAACAGTGCTATTGAGTTTATACACACTATGGTAAGCAAAATGCCGCTGGAATGGATCCATGATGGTATCATTGTATATCTTGTAATGATAAATCTTACTTTTGGCAGAAAATCGAGCATGGAATTCAGCTGATGCAGGGCTGATCTCTCTAACCCGGATATCAGAAGGAAGAAGACCATTCAAAGCTGCATGAAGTTCTTCCAAGTTGTCATAGTTAAAAGGTGTAAAGAAATGAGCAACCTGTAGTCACAGAAAGTTATAAATTTCTGATGGTTGTCACATGAAAGTTGAAGCCAGATAAAAGGAAACAAAGTCAGACCTGACCCCAAGCATGGACTCCTGCATCGGTCCTGCTCGAACCAACCAAACAGAGATCCTTCCTTTGAAGCTTTGTTGCTTGAGTTAAAGCTTTCTCCACAGTGCATTGTACAGTAGGGGGAGACTGCTGATATTGCCAGCCTGAAATATGATCATTACCCAAGATAAGGGAGAAAAGGAAAGAATTAAACTATTAAACTATACTTTTTTATATAGTGCACCTTCCTATATAGCCTTCAGACAAAAGGATTTGATATCCTCCACTCCTAAAGTTCAAGTAAATCCCGTTTCTAGTATCTAAAATTGTCAATGTTACTGCCATTCTTAACTTTGCAAAGCATCATTCACTTTAGTCTCTTTTGGTGCAACATGACAGTGAAAAATGATTAAAATTAAAGACATTTTGCAACTATCAGGGACTAAAATGAGGATTTTCTAAATTCAGTCAGGATTCAGGACTAAAGTGATTCACTATTACAATCTAGGAACTAAAATGGAGGTATCATTACATTAAGCTCAAAAGTTCATTCCATAATTAGGGACTTTGAACTATTTCCAACATGGATTTAGATGGACAAAGAGGTTTAGACCATTAAAATAATGTAAGGTTAGGCCAAAATGCCAAATCAAGCCTAACTGATACAACAACTCTAGAATTCATAAATTTCCGACCTCGTGATTATAATCAAATGCTCAGTTATAAGCTGAGATCACCTTAAACGATAGATTTTGAGATTCTTCAAAGCAACTAAAAAATGAATAAACACAAAATGCAAGCATATTAAAGACTTCTTTGTTCTTTGGATAAACTTATTTTAGAAACACTTATAGGAAGCAAAGTTAAAATAATAATAATAATAATAATAATAATAATAATAATAATAAATAAATAAATAAATTGAGGAACTAATATAAAAGAGCTTCAACAAATTAGGTTGTATGTAAAATAATTTTAACTTATTTAGAATTTCATTTCACTTCACTTTTTTTCTGTGTTTCATTCTCTTATAAGTGCTTGGAGGGAGTTTATCCAAACATGCTATAAACAAAGCAATTTCATTGACATTGTGATTTGTACAACAGCTATAGAATCAGAAGAGAAAATTAACAAACCGCTGAAAACACGGGATACAGAAACAGAGAACAGCCGAGTGAAGCAACAGATAACGACCCAAGAGAAATTTTGTGAGAAAGTTAAGGGCTTCGTAGATGAAAGGGGATGGGCAGAGTGTGAAAATGAAAAGAGAAGAAAACCTGCATAGTGGGTTCCATCGTAAGCCAAAAGCAGGCGCCACTTGTAGCCATCTTGAATGGGCTTCACCCCATGTTCCACTTCCACAGGAGCAATAGAATTCAACTAAATTCCACAGAAGAAAAATAAATGTTATGATGAGAGAAAACGGAAGAAGAAAAAGAGATGGATAGGGAGAGAAGAGAAAAGAGTGAGAGTAATACAAAAGGGAGAGAAGTTGAAGATGGAACAAGCAGTGCTCCTACTGCATAACTCATGTCACAAAATCAACATTACTTTTCTTCTTTATCCATTTTTCTATTCAACCCCTTTCAAGTATGTAAATAAAGTGTATCAACTAGTCAAAAGGTTTTTTTTTTTTTTTCATCCATTGATTTTATAACAATTGAATTTAGGCATATTATCTCATCTCAGTTGGCTTAAATATATTTTTAGTCCATCAAATTTAAGATAAATTTATTTTTAGTCCTCAAATTTAAAATTGTTATTTTTAGTTCCTGTAATTTTTAAAAATCTTGTTTTAGTCCTTTAAGTCACCAATAACATATTTGAAAATGACTAATTAAGATAGTTATGCAATATCACTTGGATTTAATGTAATATTTTCATTAATAGGAGCATGAATAGGTAGATTTTATGCAATAATGTTTGATAAATTTCTTAACAAAATTTGAATATAAAAACTAAAATAAGATTTTTTGAAATTATAGGGATTAAAAACAACAATTTTAAATTTAAGGGACCAAAAACAGATTTACCCTAAATTTGAGAGACTAAACATATTTAAGCCATCTCAATTTTATATTACTATTTTTTTTTGATAAGCAATTTTATATTACTATTCATTGGGTCTTGATTTATTTTTTAATAATTTTTTAAAAATTAATAATTTAAATTACACTTTTAGTTTCTCAATTATATTGAATTTACAATTTTAAATTTATAATTTTAGTTTCTTAATTTTATAAAATTCACAGTTTTAATAATGTTCATTGGTCATTAAAATTGTAATATTTGTTATGACATTAAATAAATGACATAACAATTAATATTTAATGATAATCAAATTAAATTTTACTTTTAAATCTCGTTTTTATTTCATAAACGTAAATAAATGATATAGAAATGAAATAAAAAAGAGAATTAAAAGTGTAATTTAACTTACATATTATTAATTATTAATTATTGTGTCATCTAATGTTTGATCATCATGAACATTACGCAATCAACATAAAATGAGAAACATTTAACAACGAGACAAAAATTGTTAATTTTATAAAATTGATGAACTAAAATTGCAAATTTAAAAATAAAGAGATCAAGATTGCAAATTTGATATCATAAGAAGACCAAAATTACAATTTAGCCAAAATCATAAGAAAGAAAACTAAAAATTATATAATTTTTTAAAAAAATAATTAGAATAAAATAAATAATTATGTACTTTTTATTATATTATCAAATACAATAGTTAGATCAATTAAATTAATATTTAATAAAAAAAATTATTAAATATATATTTGACTAATTTGACACCATAATAATTATATATATCACTCTTATTTTAATATAGTTTATTTTTTGTTCTATAAAATTGTATTTTAAAAATATTTTCGAACATTTAAATTTTTCACACTTTAACATTATCAAAAAATATTACTTTTTCTTGACTAATATGTAAGATTTTTCTTATTTTAAAAGATTTATTCAGATGTTATCATGGAAGAATGTGATACATTATTTTCCTTTAATATTATTTTTTTAAAAGTAAATTTAATGACTCATCATAGTCCCAAGACTTAAAAGTTCATAACTAGTTGCATAAATACCAACTAAAATTAGAATTATCATTCTAAACATATCTAAAAAAATACATATTGTAATATATATTTGTAAAAGTTTTCAACAACTAAGAAAATAGAATTCTATATAAGTTTATAAATATATACATCAATCCAAATAATAATCCTAGTAGTCGATCTAACCTACTAAATACAACAAAAAAATAGCTACATAAAGGTAACTCCAAAATCAATAGCTTCACCAATAGACATGGCCTCCAAAGGTCTCATACCATAACTTATCCCAATTTTGTTTTCATACTAAGTATGATCAACGTTGTCCAATCACCTAGAAACACGTAAAGGTAAACTAGAATTTAAATAATCAACATAAACAACTCAACTTTCTACAACATAATATCAATTTACATCCTTTGAACACAATACAACATATTATCAACTTGAACAACACAACATCAACATATCAATTTGCAATACAACTACATAGTTCATCACAAGTCAACATCGCATATGAACACAACTCAACCAACATATCTTATATCATATATACAACACAATAATTATGTGTTATTTCAACTAAGATTTCTTATAACACGAGTAAGTAGTCCAAGTGGCTTGATCCTATCAACTTTTTAATCCAACTAGATTAACAATCAAACGGGATATCAATCCCTAACAATACGATTTCTTAGATGTTGTCTCTTAAACTATAAGGTCTAGTATTTATGTCAGGATAAAATAACTTAGGTGTGAGTCAACCACAACATTAACTAACATCACTAAGTCACCTATGAGATTAGCCTACCTACTACTCTTTAAATATTATGTCTTTCCAGTATTTATTTAGAGATTCTAATCCTCGACCTTATATCTTACTCTAATTTAGTTGTTTTATACATGTATGTCTTGAGTTTGCCCACACACAAATCAACAATTGGTTGCTTATAGTCGGTATGTCTCGACTTGACTCACAAATCACATCAACTAAAGTTTTAAAGGACATTTAACTATCATTTTCAAGGGTCAACTTCTTAAGAAGAATTTTTTTAAAAAATTTAGGCTCCTAAAGCAGCACAAAACAATATCTTCACAATGAGATATGTAACTTTAAAACAATTTCTCCTCTAGTCTTGTATCAATCAACGCAATACAACTTTGATGCCCAAATCATGCTCAACATAAACTTCTCAATTCAACAATATACAACCCAACTCATATAATATATTGCACTAAGTATAAAGATTGACATAATTAATCAACATACAACATATAACACAACTAAATCATCATAAACATGTAATAGAGTCAAATATTATATACATGTTCACAAACCTCATCATAAAACAACAAGTTAAAATAATATAACTCACACTCAATGCTATTAAAACTATATTTAACGCCATATAAGGTAGGGACTCTTTGCCTTGCCCATGTCCGATGCCATTCAACCTACGCCTAGCGTGGATCAAGTAGAGACCCTTGGGACCTCATGCTTAGCATGACAAAAACCCACATCTGGCCCCCAACTAGGTAGAGGGCCTTGAGTTGATCTACACTCGATGTCACTCCATTGGCGCTTGGTGTGATTCCAATCCAAGATGATTCTCTCTCCTCACATTTAACGTCAATCCAAACAGAGTTAATTCTCTCACATTATGTTCGACGTCATTCAAACCACGCCTGACACCATTTCAACTCAAGATAATTATCTTTTTCTCATACTTGATGCCACTAATCTTGTGTCCAACATGAGTTAGACAAAAAACCTCTGATTGAACTATGTCTAATGCCATGAAGGCACGCCTAACATAACACCAGTTTTGTACTTATGCAAATTACAAATTTGGCCTCCCCTACACTTGAAATTAAAAAAATCCACATGCCAAGCAATATTTGACAAGTACTTAACACTATTAACTCATTTCCAACACAAATAACAACATACAACAACCCACAACAGGAATCACCCAAAACCCCCCAAACAGGCATCGCACACCCAAAAATCCTCCAAAATTAGAGTTTTCAATCCAATTCATCAACTCGACCATGAATTATGAAGTAAATTAACAACATACAACAACCCACAACAAGAATCACCCAAAACCCCCCAAACATGCATCGCACACCCAAAAATCCTCCAAAATTAGAGTTTTCAATCCAATTCATCAACTCGACCATGAATTATGAAGTAAATTAACAACATACAACATCAACCATCATCAAGACATTCAGTCTAGTTTCCCTTACCTTAAAAACAAAGTGAATCAGGGAAGAGAAGAGGAAGACTATGAATAGCAATGAATCACTCTATATGACTAAACAAATTTTGATTTAAGATGCTAGTAACTTGAATCAATAAATGACATAGCTAAAATGAGATTCGAGGAAAGAATCACTCTGACCAAGGAAGAATCGAAGAAAAAGAAGACTCACGAACCAAGATGCTTCTCTCTCTAGTTTCTATAGAACTAAACTTATGAAACTCACTTCTAAATAAAAATCTTATATACTCCTTCCCCCAAGATCAAATTGAACCTATGCCCAGAAAAACTTTCAGCTACCTAAAGCTCATAAGAAATTCCTAAATCTCAAAGTTTCTCAACAACGCAACAACAAATCAACAAAACACAAAATCTAGCAAAATCAATAATAATTATAAAAAAAAATGTACAGTGTTACTATAAACATTCAATTTGCCCCCTAAAAGATGGCAAAGGTAGTTGATAGGCTCCTAAAAGATTTTTTTGTGGCATTTAAATTCTTAAATTTTAATCTCGTTCTACAAGTTAATTATGTTGTTATACTTAGCTACTAACACTATTAGTTTCTTGAACAATCACCACTTAAGTGTCAAGTTGGCACTTCTCTCTCTCTCTTTCTCTTATTTGATTGTTCTCTTTCATAATCACCTAATATGCACTATAACACAAGATTTTGGTACTTTTCAATCAGCAATAGATACATTGTTATGTTTAAATATTTGGTCATGGGTGTTCTAGTTAATATGGAAGGTTGTTAAATTTCGTAGGGTTTCTTGTAGTTGAATTTTTCTACATTAGCCATTCTTAATTTCTTCAAATGATTTGGTTACAAGTTTAAAATTATAAACCCTAAATTATTGAATTTGAGATTTAATAAAATGAGTTATCGTTATGAAATATTTCAAGCAACTACATGTCAATCAAATATGAGTGTTTTTAATATGTTTAATAAATTGTAAAATTCCTTTGATAGAAGTAGGAAAAAAAATTAGTGATAATGACCCTCTTTGTTAATTAGGAGAAAGAATATGTCAATGTAACAATTAACTGTTAAATAATTATAAGACTAATAAAATTAGTAATTAAGTGTAACAAAATGACTAATTTACAAAATAAATTTTAAATTTAGTATTTCAAGATACCACAAAAAAAAATTCACAGAATTATCATTTACCTCTATTATTTTTTAAAAATCAAAATTAGATATTTAGTCAATTATATACACAATTCAATGAAATTATCTTGTTTTGCACTTTTGTTCAAAGTATGTCATAAAATAAATGGAAACATGATACGATATTTTTCTTTAGCAAAATTTATGATAAATGACAATAACAAACACTTGTAATTCACATATTTCAAAATTTTCTTCCATGGTCATTTTTAATATATTGATACTTGAATATAATTTTATCTTATTCATTTAAATTATAAAAACTTTCTGTGCAAGATTACGAGTTATTACACTAATTTTATTAAGTAATTAAAAGTATTTAATAAGATATATTTAACGATTCTCACCAAATTTATCACTAGAACTATTGCTTTTCAGTTTCTTAATTTTTTTCTTGTCTAACTCGTTCTGGATTCCACTTTTATTATTGGATCCCACTCGTTTTGGATCTTAGCAAACGTGTTTCAAAATTTTTCAAAAGAACCAATGTAAGAACTTTGCGATAAAGTTTATCTTTTTTTTATTATTTTTTTTCTAAGACTCAAATAATAAAAGATAACTACTAACAAGAATCACATGGATGTTGATTTGAAAAAGAAACACATAAAGTTTTTTTTTATAAAAAAAATACTTCTTTATGGATAATGTGAAAGTTAATGTTCTTATCCTGATATTGTGATATCTAATGAGATTATAATAAAAAAGAGATTAATAGTGATTTATTGTTAGTGTAATTTTTTTTTACATTATTAATTAATAAAAAAATTATCACTCATATAAATTTTAAAATTACTATTATAAAAGTTAACAAACTCATATTAAATAATGGTTTTGTGATTGAATAATTGTGTAAAATCATTTTAATTAGGGTTATTTTTCTGTTATAAAACTGTTATTTTTTTTAACTATATATACAAATAAAATACTTAATCCACGCGTTTGCCTTAGTGGTGAGGTTTGATTTGAATGATGGAGATTTTAGATTCTAAATTCAATGTTGTTAATGTGAATAAATATTTGAATCAAAGTTATAAAAAATAATTTATATATTGTAAAAGAATTACAAGAATTTATATGTGTCTAATAATATTAACAAAAATAATTAAATAAATGACTAGAAGCTGTGCATTTATATTTTTATCACGGGTATGCGTTTATATTTTTATGACACATTCGTATTTTAGTTTGTATAGCTTAAATATTTATTATATGATTGAAATTTATAATAAATTATATAATATAAATATTATATTTGAATATAATAAATTATACTCAAAATTATAAGTAAATGTTTTTAAATATATAAATTATATTTTAAATTTATAATAAATAATTTATATTTTAATATAAAATTATTTTCTAATTATTAATTCTTTTAAAAATGTTAAAATTTAATTTATAAATAATTATAATAAATAATATTTTTTTACAATATCTCATTAAAGAGAAGTCTCTAAAAATATCTTGTGAAATAATTATTCATATTTAATACATAAGTTTTAATTATGGTATTTATTGAATATTTAAACAATGCATTAAAAAATATATTAAGTAGTTTTTAATGTAGTAATTGACCTGCAACGTGATTATTGAAGCAAGGACTTTTATTATTTCTGGAAAAAATATATAGCGTTTGACTTGACTTTTTTTTATTTGTAAATTTCTCTTATTATATTTTTTCATATTATATAAAATAGAATAAAGTAATATTTGTTTTGACATATTTATACAGTAATTTAATCACACCACAATTTTTTATTTTTATTATAATTATTTTAAATTTTATACTAAAATTAACAATTAATTAATTAATGTACCATTAAATTCTTCTTACAAAATTGGAAAAACTTAAAAATAGGTAGATCAATTGTTTTTTTTTATCACAGATCAAATATTATGTTAGGTATAAATTTTCCACACGCAATATGAAGTGAAATGTTAGAAAATATAACTTGAAATTGTTATTAAAAAATTATCTTAATTAACTAAATATTATTTCATTAAAATAAAAAAAAAATTAAAATGTAAATATTTAAAACTTTTAATAAAATTTTAAAGGATAATTTGAATCAATATGTTATTTAATATCAATTTATAATTTGAATCATTAAAATATTATGTATTAAAGTTTTAACCATATGAGTAATGTAATTAAAATGACCAAATATTAATTTAATATAAAATTTATTGGCAAAACAGAAAACAGCTGCTTTTAAAAGGAAAAGGAAAATACATGTTTTGGATAGTGAAAAAAAAAAAAAAAAAAAAAAAGTGGAGTGGTGTCATGTGGAAATCTTTGAGAAAGGTGAAAGTGAAGTGACGTTTTCGAAACGTCGTCGTAGAGAGAGGTTTCAACTTTCACACATTTGGGCGTAACATACAACACAACGGAGTTTTCTCCCTCCGATTGGTTCCTCTGCAAAAACCAACACCCACAATTGCACCTTCCATTCTGCATTTTAGGTTCCTTTCTTATTCTTCATTAGGGTTTTTTTTTTCAATTACATTTTTTGCCATCACTCTTCTGCTTTCAAGATAATATCAATTCACTTATTTTTCTTTTTTCTATCACTCAACGTTTTTTCTTTTCTCTAAATCACAGGTTTTTCATGTGGGCAGTTTTTTTTTTTTTTTTTTTTTTTTTTAATTTTTGTTTTTTTTTTAAAATTTTTTTTGT